CAAAAGCCCAAATTATTTTAACTTCTAGAGCAGGGGTCCTCAAACGAAGGCCCGGGGGCCGGATACAGCCCTCCAGGGTCATTTACCCTGCCCTCGCTAAGGGTCAACCTAAGTCTGAAATGACTTGAAAGCACACAACAACAATAATCCTATCTCATCAGCCAAAAGCAGGCCCACACTTCCCATTGAAATACTAATAAGTTTACATTTGTTAAAACTGTTCTTCATTTTAATTATTGTATTGTTTTAAAGTGTTTTTGCATTACAAATAAGATATGTACAGTGTGCATAAGAATTCATTCTTGTTTTTTCAAATTATAATCCGACCCTCCAATAGTTTGCGGAACTGTGACCTGACCCTCCATTTAAAAAGTTTGTGGACCCCTGTTCTAGAGTATAGGAAAATGTATTTTGCAAATAACTAAGATCAAACAGAATTAGCAAATAGAAATCTTACCAGTTTACATGATAAGTGTTAGCAATTTATTGGAGAAGTGCCTGATTAAGCACAGATGGCACTGTGCCTTCACTGAAAACTAACAATAGCAGAATCATGAAAGATCGGGGAGAGAAATCTGAGAATAATTGGGGGAACACCAAAAGAGACATACTGGTAAGTGATGCATGAGCATGAACTGAAACTACACAAATGGGGGAAAACAGATCTCCTTATGCATGTTTTCACACCTTCAAGGAACAGGCTGCACTGCTACAGTTGAATTTAAGTCGGCTTCTGCAAATGAATACTAGAGGTTTGATTTTAATGAAAGTTAAATATCATGGATTGATGTTCTACCCTGCCATTTGCAATGCAAGAGCAATTTTGCAATAAAGACAAAGTACCTGCAGTTACCAATTTAAAGAGGTTCAAATGTGGCTGGGATTGGGGAGATTATGAGTTTGAAATGCCATTTTAGTATATCTACCGTATTTTCATTTTGTTTTTATCACACTACTACTATTTACTTGTTTTTTAACTTTTGTATTGCACCATTTAAACGTGCCTAGTGTGGAGTGTTAGCCGCCTTGAGTCCCCACAGGGAGAAAGGCGGGGTATAAATAAAGATAATAAATAAATAAATAAATAAATAAATACATTTAGAAGTTTTTATTACATATTTTAGCTTAGATTAGGTTTTGTTATAGTAGTGGGCTTGCTGTAATAACCTAGCTGAAATACTAAATGATACCAGATTAGAGCTACCCAGATCTCAGTCTGAGACTGGAATGGACAAAATTTAAAAAATGGTGATGATCTCTGTAAAAGAAAGGACAAAAACATATGGAAAATACTTGCAGTTGGCCATCATGCTTTTCATGCAATGTTTAATTCAGACACATCTAAATTCCTTCCTCCTGTCCGGTTGATATCTAAAAACAGGGTTCCTCAAACCTTTTAAACAGAGGGCCAGGTCACAGTTCCTAAAACTGTTGGAGGGCCAGATTATAATTTGAAAAAAAAAAAAAGAATTCCTATGCACACTGCATATATGTAATTTGTAGTGCAAAAAACACTTTAAAACAATACAATAATTAAAATGAAGAACAAATATAAACTTATTAGTATTTCAATGGGAAGTGTGGGCCTGCTTTTGGCTGATAAGATAGGATTGTTGTTGTTGTTGTTGTGTGCTTTCAAATCATTTCAGACTTAGGTTGACACTGAACGAGGGCTGGGTAAATGACCTTGGAGGGCCGTATCCAGCCCCCGGGCCTTAGTTTGAGGACCCCTGTCTAAAACAACCCTAGAATCTCTTCCCACATTTTCCTAAAATATATTCATTTGTGTACTCCAAAATGCCTACAACAAGGGGTGAGAACTGTGTGATCCATCCATTTTTAACTATCTACCACTAGCCTACCCATTGGTAAGGAACGTTGACAGCTGCAAACTAGCAACATCTGGAAGGCAATATAATTTCCATGTGTAGTCTACACCCTCCTTTATTCATTTATTTATTTTTTATATATATCAGGGGACCCTATATTTCTGTAAGGTGCAAACTGACCGGACTTTCTCTCAAGGTCAATTTGGGAAGTGCCAAGGAGACCTTGCAGCACCTAAAATTAATTATGAACTTTTGCAGACTGTCCAATTCACCACCTGACACAGTGGTACACAGTCCAGGAAAGATTATTCCACAAATAAATTAATTCATCTTTAAGGTGTTTTTAGCTTCCTTGCTGTTGATGCAACAGCCTTAGCATGACAGCCCTTCTGGTGTTGGGAGCTCAAGTCAACTTCTTCTGCTTAACTAATTTCTTCGTAAAGCCTACTTTACTCTCATTCCTTAAATAAAAACTGCACAAGAGAACTTCCTAGTAGCCAGGCTGCATTAACCACCTCCAAGCTCTACCAGCCAAAATCTACTATCTCACTAATCTTGCTTCACGATAGAGGTATGTTTGTAGATGTAGAATACTAAAGCTGATTTATAAGACTCTTTTTCCCTTTCCTTGTGCTTTGTGAAAAGCAAGAGTTATGGAAGCCACAGAGTCTGAACCCAACAGTACTGCAAAAGATAGATCTAGCCAAGCTATCACTGGCATATTTATTGCTATTCATTTGGGAGGTACAAAAACAGGGAAAGGCAACAGAGACAAAAATGCAAAAGGGGAAAAGATCTGGGGCTGCTGCTATTCACAAGGCCGAGAAGGTACTTTCTTCTCTTTTTCCTCTCATGAATTATTATGGCAGACCTGAGCAGATGTCACCCTGGCATTTGAGCCCTGAAATATAGTTGGAAGAGCAAGTTATAACTAATGCAAAGAAAAAGGATGAATGTCAGGAAGTGGCACTTTTCTTCAAATTTCAGATAAGCTTCTTTTGCCTAAGGGGGCCCTGTCAATGAGAAAACGGAGCTGGAATGGGAAGCTTTAAGCTCTGGTGGCTAATAATAAGCAAGAGCTGTCATCGAAGAGTGCTACAGCTTGCTGTGAGAGCAGGGGTTCATCGTGTAGGAAGCTTAGTCGCCATTAGGGGACTCAGCTGGGAAAGATATCCTTACTCAAGAGGATATCTTAGAAAAGTGGTTTCGTGGCCAGCTCGAAAAGAAGTGATAGAGATGAAACTATTCCATGTGTAACTATAGCAAGAGAGGGGAAACTGCCTATTGCATAACCAACATGGGCCACTGCTTTGGACTTGCATCCTTCCAGTCCTCTCTTTCTACTGTTTCCATACTCTAAAATTAAGTTTTGAGTGTCAGAGTAAAATGTGCCTCCAAATTTAACTGAGGAAGCTCTGTACTTCAGTGTAACAACACTCTAAGCAATTTAGAGACACTGGAATGGCCAAGCTATAAGCAATGGTAATAGTGTGGGTTACACTCCTTCATGCAGAGTTTAACTTATTCAGAGGAAAACTATTGTTTTACAAGAAATCACTGAATCTGATTTCATAGTTGCCATCCTGAGGCTTTGTTTAACTTTAGTCTTTGGATAAATAAAATTGTTATGCTTGATAGCAACTTACACATAAGGCCCTATTCTAGAGCAACACGAACATCCTACCAGTCCATGCTAGCTTTACCATTCTAAAAGAAGCAACCTATCTCAAGGCTATTAAGTTCTGAAACTTACTTTACCTTGAACCTAGCAATGTCAAATTTTGCACTTATACACGTTAGCCATCCCTTATCAAGAACTACAAAATCCAAACAAAAATCCAAAATTGTCCAGACAGGTAACTGAGATACTGACATCTTTGTTTTATGATGCTTCAATTGACAAATACTTCGTTTCATGCACAAAATGATTAGAAATGTTGTGTAAAATTACCTTCAGGCTATATGTACGATTGGACTACTGCAATGCGCTCTACTTTGGACTGTCTTTGAAAAGTGATCGGAAACTTCAGTTCATTTAAAGAGCAACAGCCAGACTGCAAACTGGAGCTGGCTGAAGGGAGCATACAATTCCTCTATTGCAACAGCTCAACTGGTTGCCAATATGTTTCCGAGCACAATTCAAAGTGCTGGTTTTGACCTACAAACCCCTATATGGCTCCAGTCCAGATTATCTGAAGGACCACATCTCCTCCTATGCACATGGGAGACATATACGACCTGCTGGGGAGGGTCTTCTCTCGATCCCACCACCCATTCAAGCACGCTTGGTGGAAACACAAGAGAGGGCCTTTTTGGTGGCTGTTCCCATGCTGTGGAACTCCCTTCCAAGAGAAACCAAAATGGCCCCATCACTGCTGGCCTTCTGCAAGAAGATCAAGGCCTTCCTCTACCAACAGGCTTTTGGGGAAGGGCAAGGGGAGTCTCTGGGGAAGGTGGGTGAGATTGGGGGGGGGGGGATATGAGTTTTAAAAGCCATTTAATGTATTTGCTGTACTTTAATTCTGTTTTTAACCACACTGTTATTATTAATTGTTTTTTAACTTTTGTATTGCTTTTTAAAACTGTTTAGTGTGGATAGATGTTAGCAGCCTTGAGTCTCTATGGGGAGAAAGGCGAGATATAAATAAAGATGATAATAATAATAATGATGGTGATGCATAAACTGCATATGAAGCATACATGAATGTCTTGCATAGATTGGGCCCCACCCCCAAGATATCTCATAATGTATATTCGTGGAAATACAGGAACTCCAAAATCCAAAAAAAGGAAAATCTAGATCACTTCTGGTCCCAGGCATTTCAGATAAGGGATACTCAACCTGTACTACATTTTCATGTCTCCATCTTCTAATGCCATCCAATTTTTAAAAAGATCCTTCCCCATTCACTTCCTACTGCTTAAGGAAAAGAAGAAAAATATCATATTTTGGACTTCATAGTCCAGAAGTCTAGCTTTTTTATACCTCTTTATAATATCAATCTCTTTTCTACCTCATTTTAAGTAACTTCCATTTCTGTCCTTTCTGTTGTTTTGAACTCTATATCATAAATCCTCTTATAGTTTGCATATTTTCTCAGATGTTAGTACTGTGATGTGTGCTTTGCACAGTGATGCAATACCTCACTTCTCTTTATGTCTGGTACTCACCCATCTGCTCCACAATCTCAGGTGGGAAAACCCGGGAGGCAAATGCACGCCGAAAAATATCTGAAAATTCCTTATCAAGACCCCCAATGCCCATCTTCTCAAAATTCCAGTCTGGGTTAATGATAGATTGACGATTTTCCCTAGTTTTCGATTTTCCTATAGAGAAGAAAGAGAAAGAAAAGAATTCAAGGGTGACAAATTCATCAGCATATAGAAAAGATGCAGAATCCCATGCAAAATCCAAAGGTCAACTTCAGACATAATAGAATATAAACCCTAGTGAGAGAGATATGAAGCTAGTAAGAGTGAGACTGTAATTAAGAACATGAGATGAAAATGCTCAATTTCATTTTAGTCATGGAACTACTGAAAAGCCTGGCGAAGACACCATCACGTCCACATCATCATCCAATAAAGGCCTTTGAAATTATAATTCCATCCTAGTTATGCTATTACTAGGAACAGAGACATAAATGCAAAATTGTTATTTGTTTTTTTAAAAAACCTACAATGATATGGTTGTTATATGAGAGGGAGTTCTATGAGTAGAAATCAACTAAGAAACACAGAGGTTTAGCTGGGGAATTAACAAAGCTTCTTGAACGAAGAAAAACCTTTTCCACATATCCATGAAAAACAAAATTACATTGAGACATCAAATGTCAAAATCAATACATTTAGTCACTCATAATGAAAAGGTATCTTTAATTGTAACACAAGAGCACTACAGATGTTTTTCTATGCTGGACTCATAGCATCTCTTGATGGTCTCTAGACCTTATCATTCGTTTCAGGAATCCACTTCTGTAAGATCATAACAAGTAAAATCAATACCATTATTCTCCTGATACCCAAAGAGAAATAGAACATTACAAAACAACATCTCATAAATACTGCTGTGAGCCTATATAATTTTACTTGAGAAATTAGCCCATCTGATTTAATGGGATATCTTCCCATATGTGGGTACAGAATTAGTGGCTAAAAACAATTAAAACTTAATTGTTACATTTTAGTTCTATTATTCTAGCATAGTAAATTGTTATGAAATTCTAAAACAGACTTTAAACTTTATATGTGACATTGCACATTTCAATAATGCTTTATCTGCTTAGTTCCTGATCATGATATTGTTTCCTTCTAAAAAGTAATAGTAAATATGTAGTCTCTTAAAAACTAAGTAATTTGCCACTGCATAGTTTTTTGCTCACTGCAACAAGAAACATAAAGCATAGAAGCAAGTCATGCAGAATGGGAACTTYGGAATGGGCAGAAAGGTAAAGATCTGAAGCAAGATAGGMCTTATTAGAGAGGGGCTAAAGGAYAAGTAGGATTGGGKAAATTTACATATTGGGCATAAAGGGATGAGACACTCAACACGCTTGCAGGAAGACAGGAAATCTTAGAAGGCTGYTGATTTGGAGCCATAGAACCAAGGGAGTTTAGGAGCATAAATTGAAACTTTATATTTAGAGCTTAAACRGGTTCAGAAATTCTGCCTCTCCTGGCTTCTACTGTTGCTGCAGCTTTGTGGTCCATCGTGGAGCATCAGAAGCAAAAATAAAATATAGGGAAACAATACTTAATGTTACCCWCTGGTTTGAAAAAAAAAAGCCAATTCATTTACTTCTTTTATTACATTTCCTTGGGGGGGGGGGGGGGCTATATCTTACAAATACAAGCTTRCCAGTTACTACTGACATTGACTAGGCCTTCCTCTTTCACTTTTCTTATTCTCTACTGCCACATGCTGGCTATCAGTGGCATTTTAAAAACTGACAACAAAATAGACTGGCTGCTACTGCACAAGGGATGTAATCTTTCATTTAATTTACAAATACAGGAATTCACAAAATTCAGAATGGAGAAAGGCTAATGTAGTATAATAATTTAGGTGATGGACTAGGGTTCTTGAGGCCAGGGTTCAAATCCTACCCAGTCATGGAAACCCCACTGGGTAATCCTGGGCAGATCTCATACTCATAGTTTCCATCCTTATCTAAGCCCCTACACTTTGGTTTGGTCTCTTCTAGCACTTCTAATAAGGTCAGGGCATTCGCCTCCTAGCCCAGCCCTCTGTTTGCCACACTTGCCCTTGGCTCTACATAGGAATAATCGCTTCTAGGAATCCTGATCCTGAACCCACTATTATTGTCAGCCACGATATTGGTTTATGATGTTTGTCTGATTATAATATTTTAATGTTTTTAGATGTTGACTGTATTTTTGTGCTTGTTTTTAATCTTTATTTGCTGGGCATGTCCCTTATAAGCCGCCCTGAGTCCCTTTGGGGAGATGGAGGTGGGATATAAAAATAAAGTTGTTATCATTATTACTATTATTATTATTATTATTATTGACACAAAAACACAGTATGTCACAGCAAATGAGATATATATGCTGGATTTTGTATCACAAAATCGCTATTATTATTATTATTATTATTATTATTATTATTATTATTATTATTATACTCTCAACCTCACAGGAAAGCAATGCCAAGCTCCCTATTAACAAATCTGGTGAAGAAAACGGCAATAGATTTGTCCTGTTATTTCTGTGTGCCTTCATTTCCAACATATGGCAACCTAAATCTTTAGGTGACAAGATTTGTTCATAGGGAGTTTGCCTTTGCCTTCCTCTGAGGTGTGTGACCTACTCAAGGTCACCCAATAGGTTTCCATAGCCAAGCAGAGGTTTAAATCCAGGTCTCTAGAATTGTAAGCCATCACTAAACTTAGTATATCATGGAGCTCCTGCTCAGAGTCACCATAAGTCAGAAATGAGATGAAGAAACTTAACAATAACAATCAGAATTAACAGAAATTTTATGTGTAATCATTCAAATGTGAAGAACTTATCAAACTATCACTGACTAAGAGGGAGGAGAACCACATCTGGCTTCTTCTGGAGTTGATCCCCTTCCCTCTTTTTCTTGTGCTTCATGTCCTTTTTACTGTAAGTTTGAAGAAAGGGAACTCCAAAATTAACTATTGTAAGTGGCTCATGTAAAACATCATGTACACTGATGGTGCTATATAAATAATTACAATCTTTCCAAATGTAGTTCTAAATAAACACAGCCAACATGTATGTATCAAGGTGTACATACACCTAGCTTATATTAAAACATCTAAATGATTAAGGTAAAAGAAGATTGGGGATTGATACGAATTAAAAATTGGTCATCAAAGGCTTCTTCCAACATAAGAAAGCCAAATGCAATAGGAAATCTGAAAAATCACTTTACCTATTCTGATCATACCATACTACAACTACCAAACCAAAAATGTACTGGGGGAAGGAATCCTCCAGATCCAGACCAAAAAGTCAAGGCCACAGAGTTAGTGAAAAACATCCCTACTCAATGTTCCAATTGGTTTGCATGGGGCAGCAGTGCTTTCAATACTGTCTCGAAAGACCATACTCGACTAGACATGCTTTAAAGACAGCAGGAAAATGACATGTCTGGTTGAAGGGGGCACTTCATGGATCCTGGGGTAAGGTGCTCTTCTAACCAACGAATGGAAATGAATAAGCAAGAGCAGGGCAGAAAGTATGCTATAATTCTATGGGAACACTAGATATGGCACTGAAAGGGAAATTCAGTTTTTAGAGAAACCCAGGTTCCCTGATCAAAAAGCAATGTTTGTGTTCCATGGTTCCAAAAATATAGCTTTTGCAACAATGCCTGTTGAAATTTTAGAACTTTGAAGCAGAGGAATTCCCTGCATGAATCTTTGTGTCTTTTAGGAAAACTTGAATAAATTGTGGAGGATAAGATAAACTGTACAAAATTAAAGTTACTGTACAGGTGTTGCAGATTTCAAATAACTGATATAGAAATTACATTCCTTTAGCATTCGATTGATTGTTTATTTATTCATATATTACTTTTTAAGCAGAAGATTACATGACCTACTCTTTTGATCTCCATTGTATCTTGAGAGGGATGAGAACCCTTTCTCGAGCCACATCTCTTTCCTCTTCAGTGAGATTTGCTCTCTACTATTACTCAAACATTCCCCGTTTTTACCATGCAAGTAATGGTTAATGTAGCCAACATATATCTGAACCATGCATTCTTGTCTTCCTCCTAACTTGGCCCACTTACCCAACCAGCTTCGTCGCGCCTTCCAAAGATGGAGAACAAATGAACAAGAGCCAGAAAGGGAGTGCACATTTGAGTGAATGAATGTGAAACAGAGAGAAAATTCCTGCTGGATACTTTGTCTTAATCCAACCTCCTTGTGAGCTGACCTATCTTCCCCTACAGTGAAAGACATGAACGAGAGACAGGCAGAACAGCCTAACCTTCAAGAGGAGCCCTCAGCAACCATGTGCACTCCAGATATGCATGACTACATTTACCATCATCTCTAGCCTCTGGAGAGCATTATGTTGGAGAAGGCTGTTCTAAACTCCCTTCGAATCTGGGGAGATCCTAGAGAATGATGTCAGCTTGGTCGCTTAAACTTCAGCATGACTCACAGGATAGAATTTTGTTTTGTCTCAGAACTGAGAGATTGGGCTCTACTACCAGGACCAAATATCCCTACTTCTAAACTACCTCATTCCATTTCATCAAGCAGCACTTATTTTTTCACTTCTCCAAAAGGAAAAGATCATTGGAACATAAACACCAGGCAACTAATCTGGGCAGGAGAAGCCAAAAAAGTTAAAACAAAACCTGTTTGGTAGACAGTAGAAAAGACCATGTTTTTAATGTCAATTTTAAAGGTGCTTGGACTCTATTTATGTAGTATGCCACATCCAGGACAGGGTGGACAAAATATAGCCTATGAATTGCAAGCAGACCTCATGATTAATTTTGCAGGGCCCTGGCATTTTTAACAGGGGGTTAAAATGGCTATTTTGCTCTCACATCCTTACAGCGGGAATGACTGACCATTTCCTCTCATTTTTGATTACTGTTTTTAAAAAGCTCACTATGTACTATTTAAGTGATAAGCGATAATGTATTTTTCAAATGTGAATGAAAATGTGGCTTATATATGGAAGATCTGAATTCAATTTCAGATATCAGTCTAAAGGAAATTAAAGTTGATCAAGACACAAAATATCCCTGGCCAACTGGAGATCTACCACCAGTGACATGATATGATAATTGGTCCAATAAGGAAGTTTTGAATGTTCATAAGGTTCAGTGGGTGAAATGCCTCTCTTGCCTTCTGTAAGATCAGAACAGCTACGGTGTACAATTTTTGGATCATATGATTTTAATATTTATATTAAGATGTATTTAATGCTTTGTTTTAATGTTTAAATGTTAATTATGTATCATGTTTAATGGTTGTAATGATTTAAATTTATATTTATATGTTTAGTTATTATGATTTTTCTTTTTACATGTATGTTGACATTGAATTTTTGTCATTAGTGTGTTGTAAACTGCCTTGAGTTCCCCCCAGGGGTGAGAAAGGCAGTATATAAATATAGCAAATAAATAAATAAATAAGATGTGAATGCTTTGTATCCAATGTCTTCTGTTGTGAATTCCAGCATGGCAGGGGATTCTTGTGATCCTTTACAGCTCTAAGATTTTATTATTCAAGGTAGTATAGATGGTTTTCCTCTTCCATAATCTATCCCATGTTCCCTTTTTTACCATCCTTTTTAACACACCATTCACATGCAGGTTTTTATATAACTTGGAGGTGACCTCAGGGAACCTATATTTTTATTATTTCAATTAATATCATATTTTTCCCAGTGAGCTCAAGGCAGAATATGGGTCCTCTTCCCCACTCTGTCTTCACAACAACCACGTGAGATTGAGAGACCATGAAAGCCCTATGGTCCCACAGCAAGTTTTCATGACTCAATGATGATTAGAATCTGGATCTCTCAAGTGATGGCTTCACACACTAACCACACACAAACCCTTTAAGAAGATATTTGTCCAAGCCTTGTGCAAGTTACATCAATAAATGTGAACAAACTAGTAGAAAACAACTTTTTGGTGTTAGTATATTAGACGGACAAGTAGAGAGGGCCGTCATGCTCCAGTTTGGAATTGAAAATGATTTCATATTATAACACTTACCTATGAGAGTGAGGGAAGAGCTCTCCGCCTTTTCAAATGCAACTTGACTGTTCCCAACAACAAGACCAGAATCGATCTGTGCATGGAGGCAAATGAAATCAGCAACTGAATGTCTGAAGAACACTAACATTGTCACTCAATAGTTTCCACAATACCTCAGAAGATAACAAAAAAATAATTTTAATATCAAAATAAAGTTTCCTAATAGCAGAAATCAGCAGAATATGAAGTCATCGTAGCACAGCTGGCATGTTGCCTTGGCGATATTTTGAGCATCATATGTCCAAAGATTTATTGGTAACAATCTCTCTTACCACATCAGTTTGTGAAAACCTGGACCTGAAATATGCCATTTCAAAAAGGATATAAGGAGGCAGAGCAGAAATCAAATGCCAGAAAAGAGCTGTAAGATTTTAATTAAACTATGTGTGTGCAAGTAAAAGACAGGGCACAATGTAAGGCACAAAACTGTAAAAAAAAACCGTAAAAAAGAAGTTTGCTACACTTTATTTGCATCCATTTACAACAATAAAGGTTGCCAAGGAGAGAAAAAAGTACAAATTCTGGTAACCAAGGCTAATCCAACCAGCATATTTCCCAGAGAAAGAAGGACATACCCAACACATTTGTGAGGATCTCAGATAAATTTCTGTAAACTTTGGATGAGTCAAGTGCCATCTCATAAATTCTAGGTAGTCACTGCTTACAGACATACAGACATTCTTGAGACTTTACTACCCTCCTTTTTTCTTTCCTCTTTTTTTAAAGGCTGGCTTTATTTTCTGTAGAACTTCTTAGTGAAAACTAATTATGGAATTAACTATCCTGAGAGAGCTAAAGTTGGTTTGCATTAGGAAAAAAGGCCCATTTGAATGCTTTTTATTTACTTAAGACTAAAGCATCTGGTGATGATCAGGGTATACAAATGAACTCATACAGGTCAGCATTTCTTTCATCACCTGACTTCAAATGATACATTCTAGTACAGACATTTAGATACATTTAGTTCAGCAGTGTCCAACAGATATCTCCATGGGCCCTTCCACACAGCCCTATATCCCAGAATATCAAGGCAGAAAATCCCACATTGTCTGAGTGTGGACTCAGGTAACCCAGCTCAAAGCAGATATTGTGGGGTATTCTGCCTTGATATTCTGGGGTATAGGGCTGTGTGGAAGTGCCCCAAGAAGTCCACAAAACAAAACACTGCCTCAAATTCAGTGGAGTTAATTGATATACATCTGCCAGTCATCAAGCGATGTCCATGTAGGCTGCCCAAAGAGAAACAAGGAGGTATCTTACCTTCTGTTTTTTTCCTGTAGCAGGTTCTCCTTTAAGGATGCTGGGATCCATGGCTTCAATGTCCTTGACCAGGAGGCCAAAAAGCTTGTCATTGAAGCTAAAGACAAGCTGCAGGAACAAAATAAAGAAAAAAAGCAAGATGTCATATGAAAGAAAACCAATTGAATCTTAAAATCAAGATAATACCTGAAAATATTTTCCCAAAGTGTTCAAAAAAAAGGACCTGTTCTGACTGACATACAAATTCAACTTAAGAACAAATCTACAGACCCCGATCTTGTTTGTAACTTGAAGACTGCCTGTATTAGGGTATGTAAAACTCAATACAGGGATGGTGCACTCATCACACATAATATGGCACTCACTCTTGTAAACCATTTTCATTACAATGGCCACCATCTTTGTTTTGCTTCCTTATAGAACTTTCAAGATATCACAAGAGGAATGTTCCTCTGGTGTCAGGCTTAATGGCAACAGCACACAAAAAACTTACTTCTGAGCATCAAAAACGTTTTCTGCACCTAAATTAAAGATTTCCAAATCTAAATAGCTGATAGCACTTTTGTTGTTTCTAATCTACAAGAGCATGTAAATAGTCCTTCCACAGCTATTCAAGAGTTTGACTTTTTATAAGACTGGATTAAGACACTCTTCACAGGAGATAAACAGTGTATCTTTAAATGAGAAACACAAAATACACACACATCATTACCTGTTGTCCAACTGTGAATCCTTGATTGTTGAACTGCTGGATGAACTCTGCTGCCATTTTGTCTGAATCATAAGGGTTAGAGTCAACACTCTTCTTCTGCAGAAAGTCGATCTCAATGGTCATAGTGCCGATGCACTGTTTGGTCTTATCAAAGTTATACAAAGTAACTGCAAGAAAAGAAACACTGGCTTCATTACAGTATAGAAAGATCCATGTTCAAATGATTTCTGGTCCATCATTTAAAAAGAAGCATGTATGTAAAGAAAATTAATATTCTAATACTGCAACTATCATAATTTTTCATCTTAGGGACGATAGGAATTGCAATCTAGCGATACCTGAACAACTACAGTTACTTCACCTTCATTTGGCTTAAATTGTTGAAACAAATGATTGAATGACATTTTCAACAAAAGCATGAACACTGTTATTTATAATGTATTCTTTAATAATTTTAAGGCTTCGTGTAAAACACTGCAATACAGCATTCTTGGGGGGATATGCTTTAACAACAAGTAATGAGTCACAAATTTATTTTTAAAGAGCAAAGCTTCTGTCTTCTGGAAACTTCCTGAGCTGAATAAATTGTTACATGATAGACTACAAAATTGGTAACTGAACAAGCTCAGGAATAAATCTAGTGCAGAGCGTAACCTTATGCAACCAACACAAATATAATACAGGAAGTGAGATGTATTTGTGTGTGCATCCATGCATCAGTGAAAACCTGGTAGGAACCTAAGTCGGGGGGGGGGGGGGGAGCTTAGTAGGATGCAAATAAGATAAGAGGCGAGAATGTTGACACTTCTAATAACACTGCAAGATGTGTGCAGAATTGACTTATAATAACTCCCTAACAGATGTAATGCCTGCTCAATTTTAATCAAGGTAGACATGACTGAGAATAATCCTCCTAGCTGGTGCACTGGTTGATGCAATCAAGATGGCAGGCAGCTGAAGCCTCCAAGGATACCTCGAGTACTTCATATCTAACTATATCTGTTCTAATTTGCTATTACAAGCAAGTAACAGTGAGCATTTAATTTATTTTGAATGGACAACTGGGTGAAGTTAGGGAAAGAATAAAGGGGCCAAGATAGAGCAAACAAATTAGACTTCTTTGTACTTTGTCATATGAACATGGATCCTACTACACTATAATGTAGAATATTGTTCATGGCAACTGCACTTCCTGACAACTGCCCAGACATGCTGAAAGATGTGCCGAATGATGGACTGTGCTGATAAGAGAGAAGGAATCTTTCATCTCACCTAGAAAATGCTGAACTAGATATATGTCCCATTATGAACATCATGCATGCCTGTTAAGATGTGTATGGCTGGAACCAATGCTGGTAAGATTTAATGTTCAGGGAATACATTCTTCTCTGTTGAGGCACAACACATCTTTTAATAGGCATCTATGAACACACAGGTATCCAAGGGGCAAGTGATTGCCCCTTGGATACCTGTGAGTTTACAGATGCCTATTAAAAGATGTGTAGTGCTTCAACAGACAAAATGTATTCCCACAACATTAGACAGTTATGAATCATCATAAAGAGATCAAATTACATATATTTGAAAGCTTTTATGAAATGTCTTTTGAATGCACTATATACTCTACTGAAACCTGATGATGATCACAACAGATAAATGACCAAGTTAAATGGTTTAAGAAGCGTGTTGTCTATTTGTTAACTATTACAAAGTTTGTTAAAGAGATACTGAAACATAAAGGTTAGTCCTTCTGATGGCCTTAAAGTGTAATGGGATTTAACATATGATGCTTCATATGCAATGTAATATAACAAGATAAAAACAAGTGCACAGACATTGTGCATGTCTATGTTTCTCCCTCAGGGGAATATATAATTTTTGATTTATAAATGCATATAAAGATTATATGAACTGAGCATTTTCCCTATACATATCCTGAAATCCCAACACCTAAGAATGCTTAAGAGGAATGCTGATGTTATCCTGGCCTATCTAATTTCACCCCAAAGTCACAAATTGGATACCTAGGTGAGAGGAAGGTGACAATGAAACCCCAGAATCCAGATGAGCCGACAAGTGACAAGGAGCTGACAAGTGACAGGGGCCCTCAATCCTTCAGTCTGAAGAGTGAAGTATGAGGAACCAGACCTGTATTGAGATGTTCTCGTGGAGTCTAGTCCTCTCCACTATGATTTCCTCCAAGCATCCCATTTGAATAATTTAACTCAGGGGTCCACAAACTTTTTAAACAGAGGGCCAGGTCACAGTCCCTCAAACTGTTGGAGGGCCAGATTATTATTTGGGGAAAAAAGAATGAATTCCTATGCACACGGCACGTATCTTATTTGTAGTGCAAAAAACACTTTAGAACAATACAGTAATTAAAATGAAGAACAATTTTAACAAATATAAACGTATTAGTATTTCAATGGGAAGTGTGGGGCTGGTTTTGGCTGATGAGATAAGATTGTTGTTGTTATTGTGTGCTTTCACACTTAGATTGACCCTGAGTGAGGGCCAGGTAAATGACCTTGGAGGGCCGTATTCGACACCCGGGCCGTAGTTTGAGGACCCCTGGTTTAACTGGTTATCTCCCATAACTAAACACAAATAAGCACCCAGGCTGCCTCTGTTAAAGAAGCCTAAGAGAAAAGCTTTCTGAAGACAGATAGAAGTCAAAGAGAGGTCAAATAGATGTGTATTTATAAGAATTACATGCATGTACTATGAATAACATTTCAAGGTTGATAACTGGTACCAGCGTCAGGACCTTGAAGAGCCAAATAAATGACCACACCTTCAAGGGAAGAATTGTTCACAAAAATAGACAAGAACTTTTTTCAGCAAATCATTCAATTTAAATAGCCAGTGGTGTTGTCAGGAGATAATTTTGGGACAGTTTGAAGAATCCACTTGGCATAATGAGCAGATCATCTCCAAATGCAGTAAGGCTGTTTTATCACCAAGTAATAGAGATTATTATCTAATGAGCGAAATGCATAAGATTTAAATGCAGAGTCTAAATTTCCTAAGTGCACCCCTGCAAATAGCTGTTTTTAATGGATTACTGTTCCAAGAATGGCTTTCCCATGTTGCCTAATGCATTTAATCATTTTTATAATCTTTAAAAATTCATTATACTAGTGGCAAAGCTATGTTATGCATCTACATCACCCTTTTAACTTCTCAAATCCAATTAATCCAGTTTTCATACAGAACAGGATGAGCAGGAGGGAAAATGCTGGCACAAGCCTCACATCCAAAATTGCAAGAATGCAGTCAGATGCTCAGCTGCATAGTCCATTTTTCAACCACTACAACTGAGCCTTTTTTGAGCTGGCAAAGCTGGTGTCTTAAACATTATCCTGTAGCCTTGTAATTGGACAGGGAGTCACCTGAACTAACAAAAATAGTAGAGCTTCCATACACTTTAAATCATGTCTACTCTTGCCTCTTCCTTAGTTAATTTTATTTAATACTAGCAAGTAGCCATCACAGGTAAGTAAGAATGAAAGGAAAGGGAGGACCTATATATTAGTTATATTCTTAGATGGGTACAATGAATCCCCAAAGGAAGAGCATATGTTGTTTTGTGAAGTGTTGTTTACAGGCACACACCCACAGAATACTGTCTGTCAAAAGCACAGGACATCCATGTTCAAATGTATTTTGATGTGAGTGTTACAGCTGCTGTTAGTTTTGATTTCCCTATAGGGAGTGGGTGAGAGTCTCGCTTAGAAAAGATAATAAGGTGCATGTGGAGCAAAATGGAGCAGAGGGTGAAAAATTCCCCTAGTGATTTCAGCATCTGGTGTAAAGATCAGCTGCGTTCCCTCAACTAGTTCTGTGCATTGCAATCCATTTTAATAAGATGGCTCCAATCTGTATAGCCCCAATCTTGATTACAAACATTGGAAATGCTAAAATATGATAAAAAGAATGTGTGTGTGTGTCCATCTGTCTATCTGCAGACACGTAATGTTTTCAGACGATAGAAGCCACCTTCCAGCTTATGGACATGTAGGTATAATATCACCTCAAATACTAATTGGTACTTCATGTACATTTTCTAAAAATCTGATTTGTAGAAAAACATTCCATATTGATAAAAGGAATTCAGTTCCTGATAATTTCCCAGAAATAGCAGCTTTGTGCTTATAAAAACAACTAGGAGGGAGAAGTTACTAAGTCTTTGTGGGTTGTTTACTCCTTTACTACACAACTGCCCTTCCTAATCTGGAAAACCATGCATTGGGGCCAATCTTCCTCTATTTTCTTTCTTTTGAAACTTCAAAACATGAGAGATATATCACAATACTAACTGGGCCTTTTAATTTTTACTTGATTGAAATAACACATCAAAAGTGTATTTTATGCAACTGCTGCTTAACAGTATAGTTAATGATTATTCAAGGTCACCAGGACAGCATTTAAAAGTGGCCTGCTCAAGTGATGTTGGTTTCTCGCTCTCATGTAACTCAGCAATATAACATTATCTTTAATGAACAAGAGTTTCCTAGTTCTATCTCCCTGAATTTTATTGACTGTAACTTATGAAATGTCAGGTACTAACACTGCCTTCATAAAAAGTAGACAGATGTTTCAAAAACCTTGGGGGGTTCCAGCACCATGGACAGTGCACAGGACTCCTGCTGGCATAGGAACCTGACTGACAACACACCACATGGAAAACAGGTGTAGGAAAACTTGTCAATTGTCTCCAGGGAAGCACCACATCTTATGCCCTTCTGTAGTAATAAATATAAAGCCTGGGTGCAGATCGGCTTGTACAAAGATCATGCACAGATGTTTCACTGCACATACATGCATGGAGGAAACAAAACAATGCACAGCTTCTCAGGGCTACTAGAGTAAACACATGCTTCCCTAGTAAGGTACATTTATGCTGTGTACAAAGGTTTTATGTATAGCTCTAAGTGCTTTCCAAGCAATCTTTAACTTAGGCCTTCACTGATTATTCTGTGACTCCATCTAACCCATCCTGCTCTTTGCTGCTTTGATATTCTTTTCATTACAGTGCCAATATTTGGGGGTTTTTTTCTGCTTGTGATAACTTTTTTTCTAATATCTCAATTTCCTTTTCTTACTTAACCCTGTTTGATTTTTTTTCTTCACTCCCTCTCCACCGATTCTTTCTTCTCACATTTCCTCTGCTGCTAAAGAATGTTCCTCTCAACATTTTATTGTATGCCTTCTCTGCCTATTTTCTTGGCTCATTCTTTCTCATTCCTGTTTCTCTCATTCAGGTAACTCTAAGGCAGTAGTTCTCAACCTGTGGGTCCCCAGGTGTTTTGGCCTACCACTCCCAGAAATCCCAGCCAGATTACCAGCTGTTAGGATTTCTGGGAATTGAAGGCCAAAACATCTGGGGAACCCACAGGTTGAGACCCACTGCTCTAAGGCTGTATTCCTTGCTTTATCTTCATCTCATCTTCAATGTTTTCATTCATCAATACAACCTATTTATTTTACCCCTATCATACCAATCCATCATGTCTTTCCATTTACTTATTATTTTTTGCTTTCCACATTTACAGCCATAAGCTTCTACTCAGAAATAATTATTTCATTCAATGAGATGAACTCTCAATTGAATAAACAGCCAATACTCAGGGTTCTTTAGATATTATTACACTTCTGCTTTGACATGATTATGTCCTTTTTCCTTCAATTGTTCTATACATACATCCAAAAAGCACAAATATATGAGATTCATATTATAGATTCAGTAGTTCCCTTATTATATTGTTTCTTCCCTTTTTCCTTTTTCTGCATATATCTCTTGTTTGACTCTTAATTACTTCAGAATGCCGACACTGTTTTTAATTCTTAAGAAACTTAATGTTGTTATTAGATATTAAATACTGATTTACTGCAAATCCTATTGTGACACTATGACACTTAAAACATGACCTGATCCCAGCATTTGTTCTACAGGAATGCTAGTTGACTTCTGCTTTAATAAGCTTCTAGCTTAACACCACATCTTATATTTAACATCTATGAGATCTTCTATACAACCCCAATGAGAAGAAGAGGGGAAAGTACAAGAATTGATAGGATTAAGGGGAGTTGAAGTTCAAAACAGCTGGAGGACCAAAGGTTGGGAACAACTGCTCTAGTCACTAGAATTTGGTATGAGAGTCCTGGAGTTACCACTTACCATCTATTTCTTGCCCAATAGAAAGTCCAGCCCATTTTCTCTGAAAGAAAAAGGAATTATATCATTGAAGAAAAATATCAACAACTTATCCTTATTCAATGGTTTTGTGCATTCCTGCCCCACATTTTAACCCTGGTTACTGTGTCACTGTGTTTAAAGCACTATTGTTAATTTCCAAATGAACACATTGTTTCGCTCTTTATCTTTCAGTCTATTCTTGCTTGTGAGTTTTGGTTCCCTCTTTCCCGAACCAAATTTTTTCTACTTTGTTCTTCTCATTCTGCGCAATTTCCCCCATGGCTCCCTTTATCTGAAATGGCCAGAGTAAGTATGTACAAGTCATCCCATTTTAAGATTTGACCAAAAATATTTTTTCTCAATACGCAATCAATAGAATAAAGTTTCCCCCATTATTTATCCTTTTGATACAGTATTAGATTTTAAAAGACCCTTGCTTAGTTATATCACAAATGTAACATATGTTGTTTATTATTCAGAAATAATTATTTTTATTTCTAGATTGACTCCTTCCACAACTCAAGAGTGGCAACAAAATCCCATTATTCATTATAGTGGTCATATATAACTCTCATTATTTTTGAGACATTTGAACAGAGGTTTTCCACAGGGCATACAAATGAGATATAAAGTTGAGTCTATTGAGCAAATAACATTTTCTTCATTCTCTTACTATAGTTTCTTAAAAAGAGAAAATATATATTTGCTCTGCATTATTATGTTTTGGGGGGAGGGGGAACTTCACATTTAGTTATTCCTCAAGCTATTCCGGGCTATGTTTGTAGAAGCAAAGTGCTAGCTGACTCTGCTGGAGCTTAGGGAAGATATGAGAAATACTCACACATTACAAAATCTTGCTGTTAAATATTTGATATTGGTGCTACTTTTGACAGATTTCTGTATAGAAATTTTCAAGTAGTAGGTAATCAGGAAGACACTGAATTTCTTCCTTACAGAAGGTGCATACATACAGATTTTACAAAGGATTCCACGGAATTCCAGTACTGCTTTCCTGGAACATCTACATCCCTATGCACCACACTGCATGTCATTAACTATTCTGAAGTCTTGACATGCCGTCATCAGTGATACTATGGTTTATGGAATGCAGCACACAACAGTATTAATCCTTTCTGAGGTCAAGATAGATTTCACAGATCAAGAGGTCAAGGTAGACTTCATAGGTCCCTACTCACATTTTCCGCTTATCTCCCATATAAGAAGATATTTGTCCTGCAATCCATTAATGTCCCTAGGAGGAACATTCTTCCTCATTTCACTGAGCTGGTTCCTTTTCTTAAAAAAATAACTTCTAGAATCAATACCCATTTTACCCCAAGAGAAAGAAAAAGTTAAAATCATACCTGTGGTAGACTGAAGGCAATGGTGCCTGGAACAACTGAGGAATGACTTCTTAGTGTAAAAATGTATTTGTGGTTTGGTGACGTTTTCACTACCACATGCCTACAGGGGAAGAGAGAGCAGAAGAAAATAGAATGCCATACTTCTAAAAATTGAGTTATGCAAAATTGATTCCTTTTCTGTGAAAATTAAACCTCAAAAAATAAGAGTCAGATGCGCAATTACAAGGAGTCCCCAAATTACAAACATCTGATTTACAAATTACTCCTAGTTAAGAACGGGATTAAACAACACAAAGTGAGATACGTCTACCCCTAGGATGGGAAAATCAGTCCTGACAGCGTTATTATGGGGAAAAGGTACTCCACTGAAGATTAATCACCAATCCTTGTTTCCACAACAAGTCAGGTTTTTCAAAATTCAATTATCACAGGACAGAAAGTGAAGTGAAATCTTCTGAACAGGGGCACTGACAGCAAAACAAACACTACAGGGGTGCTAACCTTTCCTTATGCTACCCAAACCTTTTATTTTATAGATATAGAGATTTAGATATAGAAATCAGAAAAGGCACATTTTTAAAGTGTAACTCCATACACACACACACACACACACACACACACCTATATATATATAAAGGCTCAGTGCATCGTGCGTACGTTAAAAACAAAATAACCAATAAATTAAAACACACCAAATTTGGCAACACAATGTCTCACAACACAAGGTGTGACCAACAATCATAAAAATAGACAAAACCAGTAAAAATACTTAGAAATGGTAAAAAAGGATAAAATGATACAGTGCATGCATGCAAGCCCCTCATGACACAGCAAGCGCTCCTAGAGTGTGCGCGAGGGCTCCTTGCGCCTCTCACGCGAGCAGTAACAGCTGCCCTTCCAACCATCTCTCCTAAGGTCCCCACTTTTGGCTACCACTGCCCAAGCTTTTGGCTACCACTGCCCAAACTTTTGGCTACCACTGCCCAAGGCACCTGAGACTTATTGTGGTAAAGGCATCTTCTAAAAAAAAAAAAAAACCCAAAACCCCAAAAAAAAAAAAAACAAAAAAAAAAAACAAAAAAAAAAAAAAAATTTCAAACAGTGGATAACTATTAAACACAACCACCACAAAAAAAAAAAAAAAAAAAAACCAAAAAACAAAACAAAAAAAAAAAAAAAAAAAAAAAAAACCCACCACAAAAAAAAAAAACCCCTCCTCCCCCTCCCCCCAAAAAAAAAAAAAAAAAAAAAAAAGAATTGTGGTAAAGGCATCTAAAGGTGAGGGTTTATTTCTAAGAGTGAGTTCACCAGGGAATTAGTATAAAGATTAAACGAAGTGGGAGCAAAAACACAACCTTGCTTTACTCCCATAAATGAGGATATTGGTCTAGTCAGATGGCCTTCGTGGTTATATCTCACTCGCAGATATGTTTTTTCATAAAGGCTGTGAATGAGAACCAGCAGCCGCCTGTCTATGTTGGTGGTCTCAAGTCTGTTTCTTGAGATTGAGTCAAATGTAGACTTAAAATATATAAAGGCTGTATAAAGAGCTCCCTGAGAGGAAGAGGAATGTTTTTCTACTAAATGTTGCAATATTAAGCCCTGATCAATAGTTGAATATCCTATCCTAAAACTTGCTTGTTCCTCTCCTAAGAAGTTTTCTTCCTCCAACCAACTTAATAGTTTGTCTAGGAGATGACTAGCATACATTTTGCTGATGATGCTTAGAAGACTAATTGGTCTATAGTTGGCAGGATCTGATCTATTGCCTTTTTTATAAATGGGGACAATTATTGCAAGTCCTCAGTCAGATGGTATATACAAGCAGATCGATCAATGCATGTGAACAGGACTGCTAAGACTGGTGCCCACCACTCAGAGTTTGCTTTCAGCAGTTCAGGGGCATATGATCACTTCCTGGGGCTTTGCCTGGTTTAAGTTCGGAAATGAGTCTGCCCATTTCAGATGCTGAGACAGGGGGCCAGTTTGGCAGACCATTAAGAACTTGTGGTGTTAGTAAAACTTCAGCTTGCCTCCCTCTACTCATACTGCTAAATAATTTTCCCCATGTTTTCACAGGGATGTGGAAGTCTAGCCCATGAGGGTTGCTTTGCCAGCCCCTAGATACCATTTTCCAAAAGGCAGCTGTGTCGTGCACTTGCGAAGCAGTGATTAGTTTTTGCCAGTTTTATCTCAATGCCTGCTTCTTCTTTTTTCCCTTAATTAAGTTTTTATATTTCTTTTTCAATAGCAGCCATTCTGCAGGTAGTGATGGCAAGTCTAACTTCCTGTACTCTTTGTACTTTTCAATAGTAGAAGTATTGGAATAATGATGAAAATACCAAACTAACTTGTACAGTACACAAGCGTGGGAAACAAACACATAGGGACTATTTACAACGGTAATATTCATGTTTTCCAAAATAATTAGTCACATCTTCCAAAGGTCGTGTGGACAAACTTCAACATATCCAATATTGTCCCATGTGAATACAAGATGTGATAAAAAGTCTTGGGAAAACAACAAGGTTCCCAGGTGTTTATAGTCCTTGTTTCAGGAGGAGTATCCCTTCTTCAGGTTTCTTTCAAGGTTTCTTCATTCATTTGAAATAATATCTTCTGAGGCTTTATAAATTCCACTTACGGAATGAATGGCTCTGCTGCAAGATTTCAAAAAGGGTAGTGTACTACTGATTTCCATTAGCGAAGTCAGTAATACACTACTGCAAAAACATCAGAAGATGTACTATGCTCATATCAGGACCTCCTCATACAACTGCAAAAATGCCTGCAGTGCAACAACCATATTTTAAAACGCTCTTGCCACTTCACATCCAAACCTTGGTTTGACCAAGAGTATCTAGATATGAAGAATCTAGGCCCCCAATTTGGTGTCCCCCCCCTCTCCCACTTGTCACCCCCACAGGGCCCCTACCATCCTCGCCTTTGGGCCTACCCTCCCCCACCACGCCGAGACCTCGCGTGGGCCCTCCTTCCTTCCCTCTAGGTCTGTGTTTGATGGGGCTCTTTGTCAGCCCCGTCAAACACAGACCTCTTCTGCTTCTTTTCCCCCTGGAAAGGTGGGCGGGTGGCTGCTTCGTGTGGACCCAGATAGATAGATAGATAGATAGATAGATAGATAGATAGATAGATAGATACATACATACATACATACATACATACATAGATGAAGTTACACTTTAAAAATGCACCTTTTCTGACTTACCTACAAATTCAACTTAAGAACAAACCTCCTGAACCGATCTTGTTTGTAGTTTGGGGGCTGCCTGTATTTCCTGCCTCCTTCCTTCCCTCCAGGTCTGTGTTTGATGTGGCTCTTTGTCTGTATTTCCTGCAGAGTGTTCAAAAACTTCAAACAGTTCCTAGCTCGTTTACACTCAATAGGGTTGTTTCAACCTTTTTAAGTGTTGTTGGTTTTTTCACTTGTGGAAGAGAGATATAAAGAAGTGAATTGATCTTGGACTGTGCAACACCTGGTTAGTGAAAACCCAGCTTGGGGAGAACAATTTTCTGCTGAAAAAGGATCTGATGAGAAATTCTCAATGTCTGTTCTTTTCATGTACTTAATCAGTGCATGGCTTGTACATATATAAAAACATGCATTATATAATCCTATACAAATTCTATCTCTGGATACAAATTACATTTATTTTGATGTCATGTGTAGGGGACTAGGAACTTATTTATTAACAAATCCCAATGCTTGCCACCAATTGTAATAGGATTGGATTATTTAAGTGAAATCAAAAGCTGGAAAAGCTGGAACGATCTTTTGGCAGGAAAACCTTTTTAAATGAACACTGGCTACCACCACACTTAAAAGAAATGTTTAGCTTTTGGCTTGAAGTTTGTTTAGGCTAGAATGTTCTGGATTCGCACTCAGGGCTCTGTACTCTGAGGTAAAACTACAAAGATTTCTTTTTAAACAAACACTGCCACCATTTAACTCTGTTTTCTTCAGTAAACTGCTTTGGAACTTCTCACACAGAGGCACACTTGAGACAGTGGTTGTGAACAAAGAACAATGTTGTTTATTTGAGAGAACTTTGACAATACAGGCACTAGCTTAGCGGTTGCAATATTGCATAGAAGTGTATGGTTACTCTTAAAATAGTTCAAAACATAGTTCCAATAACTCATCTCCACTCCCTCAAGAAACAACTAGCAGGTTCCCCTCTGACTAGTATTCTTAAACTCCAGAGACAGTCCTCTCCTTCTGGATCTGTCTCCTCCAGTTATTCTACCTAATAGCTATAAATCTTCTAATTAACTCTGCTGACTAACTGACCAACTTCTGGCTTCACTAGCTCTCCTCAAAACCCCACTCTACTCTTCAAACACCAATGCCCTTACTCTTCACTCATCAAACCCAAACTCCAACTGAGCTGTCAGATTTTAAAACGCCCCTACTTCAAGGCTTTTTTTCTCTTCCCTCCAGCTAAGCTTCCCACTCTCTCCCAGCCAATTACAACTTCCCACATTCCCTCCAGGCTGCTCCTAAGCTCTGCCCCTTTTAGGAACTGGAATGCTCTAAAATGGCTGCCTCCTTGCACCATCTCCTTAAAATGGTTGCTTAAACTTTCTGGGCCTTTCTCTGAGCTTACTCTGCCTTAAAAGGCATGGAATTCATCACATCATGTAAATTACAATAGAAAGCTATGGCCAACTGAAGTCTCACCAATTTCAACAGAACTAAGTGCAACTAACAGAGCTGCAATGTAGTCAACAGTCAAGACTTATTTCATATGACTGACAGTCATCTTTCTGAACATAAAGTATAAATTTCTGGAACACTGCAGTATAAATGTCCTATATATATAATTGTAATGTTATCCTTCATTGCTGGAAAAAAACTACAAAAATATTAAATGTGGCAGAGAAAGCCAGAAGCTTCTGCATCTCCCCTCCCTTCTACTGAATCATAAGCAAGAGTGCCAAAAATAGCATTCTTTCACCAATGTACAGAGAAAGCAGAACGGCCTTTCCCCCTACACTGGTTGTCATGAGAACATTCTCATCTCTTCTTCATTTCCTACAAGGACATTTAAACCCAAATATGACAGGCATTATTGAAAAGGACAATATTTTTTTCCTATGGTATGTTCTTATCACTGTAAATGTTTTAGTAATACAATATATGCAGTAATATAATCTTTTATGCTGCTACATCCCAATACTTCTGATTGACATCTCAATGAGGCCACATACCATGTCACAGAGAAAAGGGATCAGTTTTGTGTCCCTCCACTTTCATATCATTACCATCTAACTGCATCATTCATTATGTTCTTTTTGACATCAACAGGGAAAGAGCAGCTCTGGGGAGGAGGAATATATACAATGGCAATGTATCCCAATGCCTTCCCTGCCTCCATTTTCTCACTTTAGGAGAGTGGATCAGAAGAATTCCATAACTCACACATCATGCTTTTGGCTTGGTTGGTGCCAGTCCCCTGTGCAAACCAGACAGAGATAAAAAGCAAATGTGTGGTAGAATCCTCTGCACCAGCATCAAAGACTTTGAGAAACACTGCATGTGTCATGCCTACCCACAGTGTCTTATTTTCTCTTTCGTAACACACAATGATTCATCCTTTATAAAAACTAGAGCTAGGAAAAGCCACTTTCCAATTTCTGGTCAAAAATTGCAATTAGCATTCTGTCAAAACTGCATATATGATATCTCCCAAAACAAGAGCTCTAACACTGATTGATTCATGTAATTCCCCTACTCTAGTCTCTCCTTCTAGAAGAGTAATCTCTCATTTAAGTTTATTGTAAGATAACAAAAACTCACAAGCCAGACTGAAAGTCCTTTTCATTGACCACAGCACAGTTGCTTAGGGAGAGTTCATCTGTGGGACATCTTGCAGCTTGCATAGTCTGTGATGGTATCAGGAAAGAAAGAAGGAAAATATTAGCAATGAGTCATAAAAGGGATTACAGACACATTATTGTTTTGCTTTCTAAAATACACTTTTTAAAATCATGTCAAGTGTGTGGCCAAGAGTTATTTTGAGAAAACCAACACTTAGTGGAATTAAATTGTTCCTCACTTTGGATGATTCATACAACTTATTATTATTATTATTATTATTATTATTATTATTATTATTATTATATTTATACTCCGCTTTAGTTCCCCCAAAGGGGACTCAAAATTAGTACATCAAGGACAAGAGTTCTACAGTGCAATTTCCTCTTTGTGTAGTAGTTCACCATACACAAACCTGTCCTTTATTACATTTATATCATGCCTTTCCACAAGAAAATTCTCAAAACAGCCAGATGAATAAACCAAAAATATAAACATCAACCATCTAAATCAAAACATCAACCATCTAAATCAAAACCTTTTTATCATTAACTCAGAAAGCAAACGCTAAAAACCAGTATCCTTTTGGACTAAAAAACTTGATTAGATGTATAGCCACACAATCGCTCAAAGTTTAATAGTGTGGTTCTTTTTTTGTAAGAGAATTCTACAACTAAGGGTATAGCTGGAATAATTCTCATTCTAGGGATCACTAACTATACTTTAAGAAATATTTCAGATGCAATATGTTGGTTCCATGATGCCATCCCACTACCACTGCAATCTGTTGTCTTCCCAGTCCGCTGAAGCTTCCAAACTGACTTCAGTAACAACTTCCTTAGAGTATAACGGGCCCTTCATTCATGAGGGTTCAACACAGACCAGCATAGCAGTGATGATATCAAACCCAGATTGTCAGACTCCCCTATGACCAGGATATTATTTTTATTTGTTTTGGAGAAGGAAAAAAAAAAAAGAATAAAAGAGACACTGCTCACTGCCCGACAACGTAATAAATTAAGTTGACAGTAGCAGAAGAGAAGGCTAAGAGCAGATATAATTGTCATGTATAAATATGTGAGGGGAAGTCATAGGGAGGAGGGAGAAAGCTTGTTTTCTGCTGCCCTGGAGACTAGGATGCAGAACAATGGCTTCAAACTACAGGAAAGGAGATTCCACCTGAACACTAGGAAGAACTTCCTGACTGTGAGAGCTGTTCAGAAGTGGAACTCTCTGCCCCGGACTGTGGTAGAGGCTTCTTCTTTGGAGGCTTTTGAACAGAGCTGGATGGCCATCTGTCGGGGGAGATTTCAATGCGATTTTCCTGCTTCTTGGCACGGGGTTGGGCTGGATGGCCTACAAAGTCTCTTCCAACTCAATGATTCTATGATGCTATGGCTTCTTTGGCTACACTCACTATAAAAGGGCTGCTTATTCCTGATAAGCCAGGATTTCCACAGATCTGACTTGTAGTGGGTGAACACATTTTCAAAGAGGATTATCTAGACATGCAAACATTATCACAATCTTTGTTCTGCAAAAAAAGTATTATTAAGAACTGTAAGTGTCAATAGCCAATATAAGTGATGCGAAGAACATTTCCACAAAATGCCATCAGTCCTTTCATAGAGCAGCCTTATTCCTTTCCTCTTTCTCCATGAAAGACAGTCATTTTCATTATCTTTCTGGTTGTTAAACTCCAATCAGCATAGCCAGCTCTGGAATAAACGTCAGTTCCATCACTTTTACCCTATCTTGTAGCAACTTCAAACAGTTAGTGATCTCAAGGTGTCATCTAATTTTGTGACAAAAATAGAGTGCAGTATTCTCAGAGCCATTTTGCTACAAGAACACTGGACTACTTTCCTTAACTTTTAATGTACACACTGAAAAGATCTGAAATGCCTTAAAGAGCTCCAATGTCTGAACTTCCATGGTGTAAAAATGACTACACTATGAAGCACAATTAAAGGACCAACTGAACACTTTCCCTATTGTAAAGAAGGACGGTCCAAATGTAAATATACTAAAAATGTGAAAGTCCACTTAAAAAAACTAAAAAAAAAGACATCAATTTATTCTTCCAAACAAATCTATTACGAAGTCTGTTACTTCTTTTTATTTTTCCTCAGATAGAAAAAAAATCAGCACCACAGGCAGCAGCAGTTTATATCTTTCTTAAATACAAGGTTTGTTTACATTTTTACTTCCACAAAGACTTTTTATTTTTAGATATCACAAATATGCCATGTTGTTTATATATAACTTGTCATTGTTATTAATGATTTTTATATGTTGCTAATGTAGTAGATTAATTTTAAGTTTGACATGATATGATATGAGGAGCGACTTAAAGAGCTGGGCATGTTTAGCCTGCAGAAGAGAAGGCTGAGATGAGATATGATGTATAACTATGTGAGGTGAAGTCACAGGAAGGAGGGATCAAGCCTGTTCTCTGCTGCCCTGGAGACTAGAACACAGAACAATGGCTTCAAACTACAGGAAAGGCAATAACACCTGAACATGAGGAAGAACTTCCTAACTGTGAGAGCTGTTCAGCAGTGGAACTCTCTGCCTTGGAGTGTGTTGAAGGCTCCTTTGTTGGAGGCTTTTAAACAGAGGCTGGATGGCCATCTTTCAGGGGTGCTTTGAATAAGATTTTCCTACTTCTTGGACTGGATGGCCCGTGAGGTCTTTTCCAACTCTGTGATTCTATGATTCTATTGTATATTGATCTTCCCCATCTGTTTTTCCAATTAAAGCAAAGAACAGAGGGAGGTGTGATTTCTTTCCCCTTTGGTTTGAGGATTTCTAGAAATTTTATCACTAGAAATCATGGCTCATAATTTCCTGATGCTTTGCACCAGATCTCCAAAACAAAAGAACCCACAATCCCTGCTCCATCCAGTCCTTAATAAACCAACATTGTAAAAGCAAAGAATTTACCTCTCAACACATACTATTAAATTGATTTATACATATAGATAATAATTTATGACATTGATAGGGAAAAATAATCAATTCTCTGCTTCTAAAACAGAATACAATTTAAATAATGTTATGAACAATATACCCAGAGAGCATTACAACCTGACAGATATCATACATACAAAACTATGGCATTTATTATTGTAAAAAGGAGATGACAAGATTAGCTCCGTCACAAGGCAAAGTGTGTATGCATGCATATCAGAAAAGATGTATGAGTAAGTTGCAACGTGTTGAGATGCAAAATGGATGAACCCAAAGCCATTTGAAAAGCTTTGCAGCAACTGAGGACTTGGATAGCTTAAGCTTTATTTCAGAAGAGCTAAAAACCTCAGAAGTGCTTTTGCAAACAAGTACTGTATTAGTGAACAAAGCAAATGGCTCTGAATGTCAGATTCATTGTGGTTTTTCAAACGACACAGAGTTCAAGGAGGCACATGCCCAATGCAATCAGAAAAAAACAAGTCAGTCCTCTTCAAAAAAATAATGCAAGACAGAAAGTATGGCATCCTCTCAGCATGTAAAAGATTTTAGTGTTTTTCTTATTTGTTCCCTGCTTTTATGCTAGTCTTACCCTACCTACATTCAAATGGGGCTATAATTCCCCTACTTTTTGCTTTTTTCTGATTCTAGCTCCTGTTTGATAAAGTATAAGCCTTATCTCCAATTATTTAGACCCCATTGTAAGATACCAAAATGACCAATTGAATTAATGGAACTTACATAAGTATTAACGTATTAAGTTAATCTTGATTCAGTAGGGTTTCTCCAATTATGACTAGTATTTGGATTTTGGGTATTGCTTTCTCAATGTCACATATAACATATGTGCTGGGGGAAGAGATGGAATGGAAAATACAAAATTATAATTAAACGGACAACATTATATGCCATGTCACATCGAGCATCGGCCCTCTTGAGCAGTGGAACAATGAGGTGTGAGGAAAGAAGCTATTAGTCTCCCTCTTATAGAACTCTTGGTGCCATTGTCCCATAATGTTGCCTGCTTATATTTACAAAAGTCCTACAAAGACACCAAAGAGGAAACCAGAGAGCGATGTATAGCGAAACTGCCTTTCCTCTGGCCTCTTCTTGACTTTCAGAAAATGTGATCAAAAAGATGACTGAGACACAGAGGAATATGATATTCTGAGGTAGCTGATAGATGGGGTCACCCTCAGTTAGATACCAAGTGCCACTATTCACTGCTAAATCACTGCTATGCAATATGAACAAGCATCTTTACTGCAGTACATGTTATGTAAAGTGCAGAAGATTTTCTCAACCAGTTGTTTGTGCACGAGAAACACAGCACTTCTGGGAAATAAAGCATAAGATTTGCAGATGGGGCCTGATATTATGCTAAGCAGCTCATTTTTTCATGATTGCCTTGGGTGTTCAAAGCAGAATTAGAGACGAGCTGCAAAGGAACGAAGGAGAACAACTCTGTGACAGTTTGATGCTGTCTAGTGCTCAGGTTCTACTGTGGAATGTGCAGAGAAAATGTTTTCATAATCACTAATAAAATTTTCAAAAGGGAACCACAAGCCAACCGTGATTGCTTTTAAAGAAATGGAATACTGAAAACGATTCCAGGAGCAGAGATAGGAACTGACTGGTTGCAATCAATTGTATGTTTAGTGCAGTGGTTCCCAACCTGTTGTCCATGGACCACCAGTGGTCCGCAAGAACGAAAATATGGTCCGCAGCCTCACCATTACTACACCATTGTTTCGAAACCACATGGCAATGAGAGTGACTGGTCTCTTATAGTGCTGAGGCAACAGAGATCTCAGGAGGGGAGAAGTTGACTACCCACAAAAGATTATTACTATCACATCAGCTTCAGATTATTAAATACGGTTTTCTGTGGGTGAGCAGATGGTGACTACTGGATGGCATATGTTCTGTATCAGAAACTATAGCTGATGTGGTCTATCTAATGCAATTTTCTGAATCAGTACCCCAAATAACCAAACCGAATCTAAAGTTGACCAAAAAAAGATTTGTAACCGTTTTGGTACTAAAGCTGGAGAGAGGTCCCTGGTCAAAGTGGTCCCTGTTTAAGTGGTCCCTGGTC